CCAGACTGTTTCCATTCCTTCAAGGATGGCAAACCATCACCACCAATAAATGGGTCCTTAATATCATTCAGAGGGGTTATCTGATTGAATTTTCATAGACCCTGCCACCAAATTCAGTTAGAACAACTCCCTTCTCCATACCACTCCATTTGGAAATTTCAACACTCCTGTCCAAGGAGGCCATAACCAGGGTACCATCCTCGGAATCCAGCAAGGGTTTCTTCTCGTGCTACTTTGCAGTCCCCAAGAAAGATGGCAGCATAAGACCCATTATGGACCTTAGAGACCTCAACCGATACCTCCTATACAAGAAATTCCGTATGCTGACTCTTGACTCCATTCTCCCTCTTTTGTCTCAGGGAAACTGGTTCGTCACCATAGAATTACAAGACGCCTACTTCCACATCTCCATCCACCCGTCTCATCAAAAATTCCTCCAGTTCCGGTTCCACCACAACACCTACCAAGTCATCGCCCTCCCGTTCGGGCTCTCCACAGCCCCTAGGACATTCACAAAATGCATGGTCGTGGCATACCTCCATACCAAGGGAATAAAAATATTCCCTTATATCGGCGATTGGCTTCTAGTGGCAAAATCCTACCGCGAAGCAGTCTCTGCCACAAATTTCACCCTCGACATCCTAAAGAGGCTCGGGTTGAAAAGCAACGAGAAAAAGTCCAGCTTGATACCGTCCTAGACCGTCTCCTACATAGGAGTAACATTGGACTCGGTTTGCATGAGAGCTTTCCTACCGCCTCAGCGAATCTGCATCCCTCTGGATGGGGAGCACACTGCCAAGAGCTGAAGTGCATGGCCTATGGACCGTGAACCAAAGAGCCGTTCACATCAACCATTTAGAACTGATAGCTGTCATCAAGGCTTTCAAAGCCTTCCTGGCCCGTATACATGGACTAGTGGTACAGTTGGTAACGGACAATACCACAGTGATGCACTACATCAACAGACAGGGCGGGACTCAGTCCAGGCCCCTCCTCCATCTGACTCTACATCTTTGTGAATGGTGTCACGTCCACCATATTTTGCCTCAAGCAATCTACATTGCTTCCAAGGACATTTCTCTGGCAGACCACTTGAGCAGGCTACCCACCAGAATGCACGAATGTACTCTAGACCAAAAGGTCTTCTGGACTTATGCAGCCGTTGGGGACAGCCCACGATAGACCTCTTTGCGTCCCACCTGAATACCAAATGCAACCGCTACTGCTCCAGGGTGGGCATAGACACCTCGTCCCTTGGAGAGGCCTTCCTCATACCGTGGTCCGGAGAACTAACATACCTGTTCCCTCCGATACCGTTTCTCCTCAGGACCATAACCAGGATCATTCAGAACCAAACAAATGCAATCCTCATCAGTCCATGGTGGCCACGCCAACCCTGGTTTGCACACCTGTCAGAAATAGCAGATGAAATAATACACCTGCCTCCGATACCATCTCTTCTCTCGCAGAACGATGGGGCCCTTCTCCATCCCGACGTCTGGTCTCTCCACCTGACGGCGTGGAGGATATCCCCAAGTTCCGTGCGGTCCTAGAATTTGAGAATTTGCCCAAGCTGAAGGCATGATCACAGTACCGGCATCCCATCACACGGTACTTACCTTCTTACTTCATCTTTTTAACCTGGGACTACCTCACTCCACACTTAAAGTCTACATTTCAGCAATTGTGGCCCACCAACCTCCCCGATCGCGCTCTGCCAGACTCTTCTCTGACCCAACCCTTAAAAGATTTTTGAAGGGTCTACAGAACGTGGGACGTGGTGGCGCTGCAGGCTAAACCGCAGAAGCCTTTGTGTGCTGCAGGGTCAGAAGACCAGCAGTCGTAAGATCGAATCCATGTGACGGAGTGAGCTCCCGTCGCTTTGTCCCAGCTCCTTGCCAATCCAGCCCTTCGAAAGCATGTAAATGTGAGTAGATAAATAGGTACCACCTCGGTGGGAAGGTAAACAGCATTCCAGGTCTAAGTCACGCTGGCCATGTGACAATGGAAACTGTCTTCGGACAAACGCTGGCTCTACGGCTTGGAAACGGGGATGAGCACCGCCCCTAGAGTCGAACACGACTGACTAAAATGCCAAGGGGAACCTTTACCTTACCTTTACAGAACATAAGACCACCCTCGCAGCACATTGTACCGCAATGGTCTCTACCACTCGTCTTGGAAGCTCTTATCAAGCCTCCATTCGAACCCACGGTTACCTGCTCAGAGAAACTACTTTCCCAGAAGACCACATTTCTTGTAGCCATCACGTTGGCCAGAAGAGCGAGTGAGCTCGCCGCGCTCCGTACCTCCAAATGCACCCGGACAAATCCACTCTATACCTAGATGTTTCCTTCTTACCAAAGTTGGTATCGGACTTTCATATCAACCACCCCATTGTGCTTCCAACATTGTTTCCATCCCCGTTCATGCCATTAGAGTATAAACTTCATACCCTCGATGTCAGAAGGGCTCTTGCTTTCTACCTTCATCGTATTAAGCATGTTAGGTGCTCCCCGTGCCTTCTCCTGTGCTACCACGGACCACATAAGGGTGCTCCAGCTTCTCCACAATCAACATCCAGATGGATTGTCCAACTTATACAATTGGCTTACCAGCTTGCACATAAGCCAGTGCCGGACGGCCTAAAGGCTCACTCTACCAGAGCGGTCTCCACGTCGACCGCCCTACTTAAGGGCATTTGGCTGCAGAACATCTGCAAGGCGGTACATGGGCCAACCCGCTGTCGTTCGCCAGACATTACCGCCTAGACATTAGAGCCAAAAATGATGCAGCATTTAGAAGGGCGATACTGTCATCCTTGATATTGTGACAGCCCTCCTTCCGGTGAGTACAGCTTGCTATTCACCCAATTGTGTGCATTCACAGAGACCACTACAAAAAAGTTAGGCTACTTACCTGTAACTTTGGTTCTTCCAGTGGTACTCTGTGAATTCACACATCCCTCCCTTCCTCCCCTTTATCCGTCACGATACCTTGCTATCTGATTTCATATGGTACAGCGGATTCAGGGAACTGAAAGGAAGAGGAAGAGGCGGAACCTATATACCCTTGGGGGGGGGGAGCTAATTGACTCTTTTTTCTATAGCTCTAGAATCTTCTGAGCGTCCTGCGCAGGCACAGGATTAACCCATTTGTATGTACTACTAGAAGAACCGAAGTTACAGGTAAGTAACCTAACTATTTTTCAGTGTCTACCACGGCCTTTGATATCTTTATGGATCTTCCTGCTAGCCAACATCTGTTACTGATATCAGTTATGTCATATCGAGTCACTTCTAGTTTATGGTAACTATAAATTATTAACTGAATGGTCTAGTTATTAACAATCCTGCTCATGTTTTAGAAATTCAAGGCCATTATTTCCTTTATTGAGTCAGTTCATCTCATGTGAACTGACTCAATAAAGGAAATTCAACTTTTCCCAATATTATTGTATCTTCCAGTGAGCCATTCTTCAGTGCAATTTCAGTTTAGCCATTTTTGCTTCCTGAATGAGTTTGAACTTGGTTTGAGCTAGTACTCACTTATTTTCTTAACTCTAGACCATGGACTGGGATATGGGGCAGGAGGGTCTGTTCTGAGGTGGCTGTAGCCCTTTTTTGGTATATGTTTCAGGAGTTCTACTTGTAGTGGCCACATAGCATCTGAACAACACAGACTGCAATAGATTGCTTTTTTCCAGATGGAGGGTACCATTAGTGATAACACCAGTCTGCTTGTCTAAAAGTAATCAGTAACTTTTGAGTAACCAATAAATTCCTTTTGAAAATTAATTGCTTGGGGTTTCCTCAAGCATACTGGTACACTTCTTCCTTTGGTTCCATTTGTGTTGTTACTTACCATTTGATCCCTTTATTAGAGGGGTGATGCATTGTTCTGTATTCTGTATTACCATAAGCCATACTTCAAGGATAACTGGAGGGAAATGCACATTGGAGCACGTGTATGATCTCTTTTCATGTAACAGTGGATAACCACAGCTTCATCCAATGCTCTGGAGTGGTACTTCTCAACCAGAAGTTAATCTTTTTTGTATTTAAAAGACCTGCCAACTCAATCAGGAGAAAACAGAGTTATATTTCCTCATACATACATTAATCCTGAAATAACCTGTACTCTTCCAGTCAATGCTGTCAAGATGACTTTGACTTGTGGTAATCCTCCTAGGTTTTTCTAGGTATAGAATACTCAAGAGTGGTTTATCAGTCCCAACTTCTGTTCACACTATGCAACCATGCTGCTTGCCCAGAGCTGCATAGCTGCATCAGCCGCATATGTTCTGTGTGATCTTGGCTGGTCTCTCACTCAGGAGACATAATGGGGATTTGAATTTTTGACCCCTGGTTCTTCAGCCAGGTGCTCCCCCCTACACCCATTGAGTTTCACCAACTTAGAATAGACAGTGTAGTATGTTCCCCCATTATTCTAAGTCAGTGTTGTGACTGCTGTCTCACCTGGCAGAAAGTCATTCTCATCTGAATTGCTGATGTTTTGTATACAGTCAGACTTGAATTGGTGTCCTATTATTTCTGAGTAAGACATGTTAAGTTTTAAGGACAAAACCTTAATAATTCAAATAGTGTACTTATTTATTTAATAAATTTATATGCCACTTACTATATCTAGGATGTAATCTCAGAAAAATGTATATAAACAGATAAAAGCAAATAAAAACAAAATAAGGTTGTGCGTGATATGAGTTTTGCATTCTTTCTAAGCAAGAAAGAGAGTTAATTGCTTGAACCTTCTCTTATGTAACCTTGCAAAAAAGAAAGTACAATGAGGAAAGTACAAAGCTGATTACCATCACTATCTTTTTGTGGTCTGTTCATTTGTGTTTTAGATAATTAGTCATCCTCTAACAAATTTCTCTGTAGGTATGGGACTTGACAGACTTTTTTTCTCCCACTACAGCTTCCAGAATTCACGAGGAATTGTCCCACCAAGAATTCTGGTAACTGTTGCAAAAAATATATATATTAAAAAATCAAAGAAAAGAAATGAAAGAAAAGAGTATTCAGAGGACTTTCAGAAATACCTGTGCTTTCCCAAATCTCTGTCTGGAGTGATAGTCATTAGGCTGAAAAAGAGGGAAAGGGATGTGAGTGGCTAAGCTTCATAGGAGTTGCAAGAGACTAGCGGACTGGCAGTCTTTTGAGAGGCATCTTGTACATAGCCTAATGAGCAGAGAAACTACCAGTTCCCTTAATCTCTTGCATTTCCTATGGACTTTACCCCAAAGAGTACTGTATAGTATCTGTTTCTGAAAATTGTTAACATTGCATTTAATCAATCTATTCTACTCAAATGGCTTTGTTCAGCATAGAATGACAACTATTTTATTTGTTCCAACAGTATGAGATATTAAATGAGATTCTTAACTGGCCACCCAAGATTTCCAGTAATGTCCCACTAGTTTAATATGGAAAGGTTATCTTGCCTAGCAGACGTCTTTCACTATTTCTTGCTGAGTTTGGGAGGTGCAGCCAATGAAACAGTGGGGTATCGCTTTCAGTTTTCACCACTGGCTAAGCACAGTTTGGCAGACTTTCTGGCAGGAAACAAAATAGAGTCTTGTGCTGCAGATTCCTATGAATAATTCCTCTCATAATCTACCAATTATGGATAAATCACTCTCGTATCTTAATAAGCGGCATGTCCTTCTCCAAAGTGTGTAGGAAATTTTAAAGAAAAGAAATTATGTTCATAATAATTCTAAATGGTTTGTTGTTAGTTTTGGGATTTATTTATTTTTTCAGGCAAACTTTTGACAATGATGAACACAGCAAGCAGAAGAGATAGCACATACTTTTTAAAAAAAATTAAAGCACTGTAAATAGCTGGATGCATTTCATAAAGAATCCTGCAGCCACTAGTTCTATCATAAAGAATTTTGAAGCCATTAATTCTTCCATCAGTTGGGGATCTTCACTCAAGATTAACAAGGGGGGTTGCATGCCCATGGTAGCTGGGAATGAAGCAAGTGATGTATGGAGCAAGAGCCTTCTCTTCCTGTTTCTGACACATGCTCCTTTATTTTCTCTTTCTCCTTCTCCAACAGGCTTCCAGCAAAGGCCAGCAGATGTCTCTTAAAATTATCCAGAGTCTCCTCTACAGTATAAACACCCCAACTGCTTTACACATATAAACTTGACAGTTGGCATAATCATCCAAATAATATATAGCGGAAGCAGTGAAAGAGGAAAGGCAAAAATCTATCATACCATGTTGCACAGGTAGGTTAAGAAATAACCTAATCTTATTTTACCTTACTAATTCTTCAATCTTGCATACACTTATTCATTGGTAAGATCCAGTAAATATAGTGGAACTAATTTTCAAATATTTGGGCTGCATATACCAAGCACTTAACCAGTGAATGAGAAAACGGTACTTACATATTTGTTCGAGTTAACGTGGATATAGAATTCTGCAAGAAAAATTATATGGATTTTGAGTGTGGTGTTAGAATATTTGCATCTTGTGAACCTTAACAAAGAAGTAAGAGTCAGCCTTCAGTGTACTGCATTCTGACAGAAAGGGTTGTCTTGTCTAGATAGTAAGTGGGCATGAAATACTATTTGATTTGTGTATATTTACAGAAAAAGTCATTTGTACAGTTGGTTTTGTTGTAGGGAGTCTTTTAGGTCTGTGACTGAGTACATGATTAACACAGGGCTAGATAAACTTTATATTCATTGTTTCTGCACATTTACTTGATCATTCTCTGTACAAGTACATGAATAATGAGACCAAATTTAAAAGCACACACAAAACCACTTATCTGCTGCTGTGTCTTCCCAGGAATATTATTTTCTTAAATAAGGAGAAACAAATTCTTGATATGGCACAGTGGTACATCTGTCTGTGAATACATTTACTTGAAAGTACCTTGAAGCAGGAACAATGCATTTGTAATACTGTAGTATGTGCATTCTTAAGAGCACAGCAACAACATTTGTAATACTGTACTTGTATGTGCATTCTTAAGAGCACAGCAACAAAGTTTGGTACCTCTGTACTCAACTTGGAAGTAGAACTACAGCCTAATAAAGGGCTTCACTCAGAATAAGAAAGAGATTGCACCATCTATATGTAGAGTGCTGGCCAGGTTTTACCCAGGACAAAATGGCTGGTATAGCTCTACATAATGATGACACAAACTCTGAGGGGTGGGGAGGTGGAGATTCCTAAATCTGCTCTCGAACACTTCCTCTAGATCATGGGTTCCTAACCTGTTTCAAATTGTGACCCCTTTTCTAATAAGCAAGTACAGTGGTGCCTCGCACAACGATTGCTTCATACAACGATGAATTCACACAGCGATGGGTTTTTTTTGAGGAATTTCCCCCATCGTTTAACGATGTTCTCTATGGGGGAATTTCACTTAACGATGTCCCTTTTTGCTCATTTAAAAGTGTCTTAAAATGTTTGAAACCTGTTTTAAATGCTTGGATTCCATAGTGCACCTTGTGAAACATGTGCAAACTTAATTTGGTTTTGTTCTGAGTCTTCATTAATTTTTGGTGATTTTTTT